TGTGGGATGAACAGATAAACCATACCACCACACCAATCTGTGCATGCACCTTGCTTTCATTCGGAAGCCGATCCCAAGCTGGGAGTGGGGTGGGTGGGTGGTAGTGGACGCACGTTTCACACCCTGTGTCCGAGTCATAATGAGTGATTGAATGAGCGAATACGTGTGCGTTTGTGTGTGTATCCATGTCTGTCTGCTTGTTTGCTAGTTTCGCAACACAAATGCTGAACGCGGTAATGTGTGAAAGTGATTCGCATGGATTTGTCTGATTTTTACAGCGATCCAGTCCGCTCCGAACCCCTCCGCCCCGCCCCGTCCCCGGTCCAGCACACACCACCCAATGTGTGATCCATCGTCCACAGTGCTGCCAACATGTCATCATTAGCACGCATTTGGCCGGCCGGATGCAGCAACAAGTAGGGAGGAATGAAAGAACGTGCCCGAGTATACTGTGGGAATCCTCTGGCTTATCGGCATTGATGCATTTAATGGAGAAAATTTTTCTTTGCATCTAAATCAACGGCTGGCTGGAGCTCATCCTCGAAATGCGTAACTAGTCAAGAGGTTTGCGAATGAGATTTAACTGAGAAATTCCGATTCGTGCTGGAAGAACAAAGAAAGCGCTTGTCATTGAACCAATTTATCTCTAATCTTTTCAAAGATTCAGTTGAATAGTGGAGATTTGTGCTTCATTTTTTCACCATTTTGGGTAGCTGAACCCCACCGTTTTCATTTGATGCTAAACAACTAAAATCGGATTATTGAAAGATGAAAAAAGTGTATCATATTAAGCAGGTTCCTTTTCGGACAGTTTTATTTTCAACGAAACGGATACACGCAGAATGTGTGCATCAGTTCCGGAAATAAGTTTCCTCCTGCTCAGCTACACATTTTTTAAGCTGATCCGATATACTATGATATCATGTAATATATAATCGGGTTGGATTGTTCCCAAACGAGTGATAACCTTGGAGGCTAGGGTTGAGATATGAAAGGTGCGATGCCTGCAAATATGGGTTATGCTATTTCGTGTATAAGGAAAATGAGAAAAACGGTACGATCAGCTGCCTGGCGACCGAGTGGGTAGTATTCCTGCGTTCTGCGTTTGAGGCCCGGTTTTGGTTCCCAATTAAGTCAATTGATTTCGCACTGGTGAAGATACCCAATCACCTGTCAACTGCATCCCAGCTTTTCAGTTTGCGTTTCATTTACTTTTCGCGCGACGCAATTCCTGATATTATCATAACAAACCTTCGATTATCATGATACGATACCATCAGAAGTGCCGAACCGAGCTCAAAATGTCACACGAGACTGAGAAACAAGGAGTTTGTAGTGGAAAATTTGATTGTAGGATCGTCGTAAATTATTCATATTTCCTCATTTGAATTATTATATATCAAATGTTGGCATGCAGTGTGAAATCAGTATGTTCTACTGAATGCAAGACCTGTGAAACCATAAAAATCTCTCTCATCCAATAGCGATATATATGTATATATAATGTGTGTCATGCATGTTCTGGCGTTTGTGGACCACGAAAAACCTATTTTAGAAATCGATTATTGGTGTTTCTGTAGGTTTGCTTAATCACACTGAACAGAATTTTTCTGATGTTAAGTTACCCTGAATGTTTGAAAACTGTAACGCTCGCCAGGGTGACAAATTGGTGATTCTTTTTAAACAGAATTCAAAACTTTGAAAACTTTTCATGTAGATGGTGATAAATTTTGCTCAGAATCTGTTAAGCAAAAAATATTTTATCCATAACCCTTGAAAATGAAAATCGATAGATACCTGTATTTTTACCATTCCTGTTTTCCTCACGGACATTGGACGGTTAACGAGTAAGCATCGAGCAATACTTATAGATCGACGCGCGTGCTTTGGGGCGCACACGCAAACGTGCAGTAAAATCAGTTATTCCTTACATCGGTCCTCAGCCTGTTGTCGACCTATCGGCCCAACGGTCTGTTGGATGGCCGGACGGTCATTCGGCTGTTTGTTTGGTCTGCACCTGTTTTAAACACGCGGATTGAAAACAGGTGTCCGAGCTTGTCACTATAAGGAGAAAATGGAGTCCAAGCCCGTGCACAGCCCACAAGTCGCCCCCTCCCTCTTGCCAAATCTAAATAATGGGAATCCAGGATGTGAATATTGGACTAGCGTTGATCTGAACCGTCTCCAATGTTGCCCTTACGTGTTGAAACACTGGCATTGGTAGGTGCGGGGGTGGGACGACTATCACCCTTCCCGAGGCACGATTCGTCTCTCGGAAAGCGTGTGCAAAGCGGGTGTAACCAATTGGCAGAGTGAAACATGTCGTGTATTACACATGTTTCCTCCAAGGTGTGTGTGTGTGTGTGAATAGATAAACGTTTTTAATTTTTATTAAACACATACAAGCCTGAACAGCCAGTGTATGTGTGACTTTATGATAACAAATAGTTACTGAAAACGGGGCTTTATGTACCAGAAAACAAAGAAACCACCTGCTAGCCATTTCGGAATCAATATTTTGGAGCTTTACACTCAGATCACAATGAAGTTAGATCCACAAGAATTTATGACAAATTTACGATAAATGGTCACTTATTTTGATGAAACTAATCGATTTCGTCACCGATTTCATAACATCTAACGGAAGCAAAATATTCAGCCTCCATAGTAGTTGTTATATCCTTCTACCATGAATATAAGGCTATAAAACGGACCAACAGAAGCGATTGAATATTGTCCGGTGTGAACTTGACCAGAATTCGCACCGTTTGGAGTTGATATGTGCGAACAATTGAAACTATAGACAAATCACATCGACAATGGTGACCGCAATCGCGTATATTTGACTGTAGGGTTATTGTTTTCCCCACATAAACGTGGTAATACAGAGCATTGTTATACACCGTTTTCCTCACCCCACCCCACCCCCTGTTCATTCACAAATGGCCCAAAATTCAAATAAACAACCGAATGCTTTGAAACATTCATGTTTTTATTTTGACACTAATTGTCGATTGATCGAAAGCTAAGCATTAGGCTGCTATACTAATGGTTTCTTCGCCGAACACTTCTGTCATCGATACAAAGCCAATCTTAGAAATAGTTACCTGTTCACTCTAGGTTGCCGTGATTGCTATTCGTGTTATTCCCCTTGTTATACGCAGAAGTACCCTGAAGGCTCTTAAGCGAGCAGTTCAACTACGAATCACGATTGTAACACAAACACACACGCACTATATGTATATATATGCGCTGGCTTTTGGCTGGTACCAATTGCCCCCTCTCGCATGGTTACCGAATCTATAGTACTACATGGCATTTTGCGCTGCCGGCCGTTATTAGTTAATATTGACTTGAATCAGTAGCAAAATCCCCCGAGAACGGTTGATTTCAAGAAAAATCAAGTTTGATTCATCGGGATGTAAACTGTTGAAATAAACTACCTAATTCACGGTAGTGTATCATATGCAATCATGATTTATAATTGTTTCTTTCCATAATATTTTTAATCTTTGAAGATCTGCTATTCGAAGATTAATAACCCTTCAAACGAAAGCCGGTGGCCATCAAACTTCTGCAACTAATAATCCCTGATTGGAGAACACTTTACCTGCCCGGAGCAACAACCGATTAATAATACATTCAACTCTATTACTGTTGCCAATAATGGTAATAATAGCAATAAATCTTTTGCCGAAAACAGATTTTACAGTTCAAGTATTTTCCACTCGACAACACTACCATATTCGATGCGACCAGACTCTCTACCAAGCGCACAAAGAATGGAAATCGGCCAAGAAGTAATTCAAACCAGTGGTCATTTTGCATGGTTGCTATTTTGTCCAACATTTTGTCTCATATATTCACCACCATATAGCATGGCTCTCTTTGCTGAAAACCGACATGGCCTTTGAAGGACCGAACATGTCCACCAGTTCTCATCATTCTTTGCCCAGGTTGGCATAAAGGAGGCCGGGGATTTTCCAATTGGTGACAACAGTATAAAATAAACAACAGTGTCATTGTTTTCTCTTTCGTGCACCAGAGAAGATTCACTTTTTTCTGTGTGATTATGTACACCCGAAGCATTATCTGGATTTGTCGATCTAATGATTCCGAAATTGAATTTCTACTAAAACGAATAATGAGCGGCAACAACTTGAAACACTTTCATTAACTTTTACCTATCGGAGACAGTGGTTCCAGTGACTATACGGTTTGCCGTAAGTTTGATTTGTTTCTTAATTTCACCAAAACAGCAGTTATCGCCGAATCACAACGAAAACAGTGCTAAACCAGCATTAAGATCAACCGGATGAACAATTTTATGTGGTAGTTTGCAAATCACGGAGTAAGCCCACTGATTTATTTGATCTCACAGAATTTTGTTTCATATACAGATGATTTCAAAGGCATGCAAACGAATTCACCGAAAACATTTGTTGCCTACATTAGGTTCTATTATATGATACGAAATACCTATTTAGTTTTTTCTGATCATGTGAAGATTGACAAAACTGTCCGAATATACCATCCATACCCATTGTGAGAAAACACAAAGTGGCGAACAAGCTCGTTTGCGGTGATTCTTCTACAGGCTAATACATCACAGTTTGATATAAATTGTGATGTATTAGCCTGTAGACGAATTGACAAAACTGTTTATCAACCTTTACAGCAGTGAATTAACTGGATAAAATATGGACGCTGGGGATTTCGTTTGATCCGATAGTAAAGTATGTGCGAAACCGAATTTTATGACCTTGAGCATACCAGCACAAAAATGCGGGTGAGACCGTGACAGTGAAAAAATACAGACATTCTGACGTGACGTTCCAGGGCGTATTATGTCATTTGAAGGTATTTTTTAAAACCATCACACAGTTTTATCTCTGGGTGGATCTACAATTCCGGTCTTTTTTACGCGTGACCAATCAGAGGGACAAGAAACTTTGTATGGAAAACGGCAGGGTTCGATACGATAAGACCCTCGCACTTACCAGAGTTACATATGAATTGTCCGATATTCGAACTTGATCTTCGACCGACGTGGACGATGGAAGTGTTGAGCCGTCAGATTTCATTGGCGGAGAACCAGATGGTCCGGTAGACTCTTTCGAAGATTCTATTTGCAATCCGGGATCGGATCCAGCCGGGACAGTGGTTTGATGCTCCAAGCTAATAGCTGCACCAGTCGAACTACTTCCAGCGGTGCCCAGTGAGGGTAAAGAACTGGTGGAACCTGTGACGAAGTCAAACATCTTCAGTGAGATACGGCATACATTTATCAACAAATGTTCGGAATTTAGCACATGCCTTTAATTTAAATTAACATGCGTTGTGCACAAAAATCTACTGGCCGTCATTAATTGAGATCGGTAGATACTGAGGAAAACTCAATGAAACACTTACAAATGAAAAATTAATTCTGCCATTCGAGGAATTAACTATTTATTGGGAGACGCAGTATGCTATTCGATACCCCTTATCCTTCAGAATTAAAACCACGAAGCCAAACGTTGTTCATTTTTCGTCTCAAAACGGTTTTAGTCATGGAAACAACTGTTTCTATTTTGTGTATCTTTTCTACAAATACTTTATCTCACCAGGATTGGCCACATTCTTATTCTGCTCATGGACAGTAATCTCTTGTGAGAGTCTGCTTACGACCATATTTACACAGATTTCGCTGTACATCTATTGATGTTGATTTGAACTGACCATTTAACGGACTTCACCTTCACGCAAACTCCTCAGTTCATACAGCCAACCATACACTCGCAAGCACTTGACCCGAGTTTTGTTGCTATCAGATCTTATAAGTAGTGCATACCCACCTTCCTAATCGGGCGTTGGACTCTGGACCCATCGCACGGAAGGTGTGTCTGCGTATGTTGACACCGTGCATGAAAGTGAATCCCGAAGGATAGTCAGTTCAAATCAATATCAATTATCCCACACCACTAATCACAAGTAACTGTGAGTTAATTGCACCTCTATTGGTCCTTAACGCTGGAGATCTTCGGCATCAAATGATTCTAAACCAAATCCATTTTTATTTATTCTTGTAGTATACATTTCGTGTAGATTCTCTAGTTATACATTCTGCTCTGTAAGGTTCATTCAGCATTATCCATCGGAATCAGCTTTCAAAATACCGTGAAATTTAATTAATATACTCATAATGTAAAACTGATTTTTTTTCGTGATTTTAATAGTTAAAATGTGAGCTGTCGCGATAAATCTGTGAGATAAATTGACCTTTTACCAAACAAGGCCTTGTAATTAACCTCATAAACTCGGCTATATATCGAATGTTTCTATCGGTGGATTAATACATGTTTAGCGATCCATTTAGTAATCTAGCAAAATTAGAATTTTAGTTTAACTATGTAGGCACATTTTTTATGGCTTATCTGTTAAGCTTTATAGTTCTGTTCCCTCAAAAGAAAAGAAAAAAATTGTTATAACTTCAATCTGAACTATTCTGAACAACGACATGGAATTGATGCAACATAAAGTCCTAGTATTATGAATTTCAAGCACAGCCTTAATATGCTCACTGCTAGCGTCATCCATCTCAGCCAACGTTAAATCAAGACATCATTTCCGAAACCCACTTACAGAAACTATTGAAACAATTTTGTTTTCTTCTGGTTGTTACTGATACAACCTGTCTCGAGAATGATCAGCCGAAATCTTCAGGCAAAATGAATTTAGTATGACTTTACATATATAATAAGTAGTGTATTAGTATAGGAATTGCTCGACAAAATTTCCCTGGAAGCACACGACCGGTTTCGCTGTTCTTGCCGCTTGTCAGACATGTGTATCCGATAATATTTCGTCACTTCCTTCATATTCTTGTACAAAGGAAGTGCATTCTCGTCACAGTAACCTCTTTCGCAACACCCGGTAATTTTGAGATGGACAGCTCTTTCAGAGCCTGTTTACTGAAGAATCAATAATATGATTTGATGTTTCGTAGGTGAGTTTGATGCTACTAACTGCAACAAACATGACTTGAGCGTCTTGAATGAGTATTCGATAATAATTAACATGCAAAATATCAAATCATTGTACTGTACATATATATATATATATTTCGTGTAGTAGGAACGGGTGCGGAAAGATCCGTTCATCCAAAAATTACCCCGGGGTTGCAAAAGAGGTTATTGTGCCGAATATATATGGCGCTCTTTTATTTCAACAATCGGATCATGGTGTATTTTTAGTACTGCTTACTCCGATCATTGAAAATATTTTCTAATCACGTTCGGCAACGCAACTATGGGTGGTTTTATCCAAGAATCAAGTTCCTCGTACAATTTCAAGCGACAAGTTCGATGCTATTGCAAGGATACAACAGATGTCAATGCATCGTCTTGACCTTATTCTTTCCCCATCTTGGACACAGTAGCTGAACTGGAAAGTTGGCGTTTGGTTTCATCAATTGTATCTGTATTGAATCCATATACACGGATTGCATGCTAAGATGTCAATTCACAGATCGGGCACATAGCTGAAATTAAGTTTATCCAGACACAACGGGTGTCGCTTTTGTACATCAGCCCCAGAAAGATTAAGCAACAGATCAGTCGGCATGAATTATTGCAAGTTGCCACTTCGACTCCATTAAGGGGATTTTGGTATTTTGGCGATTAAATTGTTGTGCCCAGACCAACAAAGCACCAAATCGTTAAACGAATAGTTATGCGTTCAGTACAAATCCGCAGGCAGTAGGATTTGTGTATGGTTGGTGTTGTTTATGTCAGCATCGGTCCTAAGGAGTTCTTGATTTATCCGTACGTCGAGCTGATTCATATGTCATTAATATGTACGGATGGATTTGCGTTTTCTTCCTTGTCGGAGCTCATCAGCAGCCGAGACAAATTTGAGTATATATTTTTGTTCCTACCACTTTCTCTGTCGCTCACTGGTAAAAGCACTCCAAACTATTCCAGAATACAAAAAGATATTGCCGATCGATGAATCGTTTGATACCCAATCAATCTGCTCATTGAGGCCTAGTAAGAAGTTCGGATATGCGTTCATTTCGCTTCTGTTTATGTTTGGATATTCAGGTTTTTGTCGTTATCTCTCTATCAAACTGAACTAACAACGTCAGCTTACTTGTTAATCTGTGAGAGGATGCGATATGATTGTTGTTGATAATGAAAAGAATACTGTTATTGGTGCTTCATATCTTATTTTCTGTCTGTATGGTATGTGACTAATCTTTCCAGAGAACAGAGTGACAACCAACAATAGGCTGTCGTTAGGCTGGTTGGTGATGCAACAGATACCATAGAAACCCATCTGGCCCAAAATTTCAACCCAGTGTGTGGATCACAGTGTCAATGTCCGTAATCCCGTTACCTGGTTTCGGGACAAGCCAGTACTAATCAGCCGGACATGGTGCATACATCAATATTCAATTCCACTCATAGTGTGCTGTGCGAAACAAAATCAACCCAGGCAAAGGTTGCTCGTGAAATTGTTTTTTCCCTATAAAAGAGAATAAATGTAATGGCAATTCGGAGAAATTGTTTACTTGATTTCATCTTTTTCATTAGCCAGTGCACCCGTTAGGACATATTTTCCAGTCATTTAAATGATCTGTCATTAGCAACGTGTTCTTCAAGAAGAACCATGATATCAAGTGTGTTTAACACCTACGAATGAAAATGGTTTTTCAAACAAATCGCAGAGTTATTTGTTCATATCAACAGTCCAGTATAATAATTAACTTGGATGTATTGTTGCACAATATACTACCTAAAACCGTAGCGGCTTGTCACCGAATAACCGGCAATATGTAGGCGCTCAAAAAGGAAATGATTTAGTTCTTTTGACTTATATTATTGCCTTTAGATAAATGACCCCATGTATCAGTCAAATGCGAGAACCTAAGCGATGTTGATGCTATGCCAGCTTAAGTAAACTGGTGTCTGGAAGTTCAAAATACTCGCGTACTTAACTCTCATTTCACCCTTCACTTCAGTCTGGAGGAAACATAGTCAGAGAACTGAACGAAAACGATCCACGGTTGTGAAAATAATTTCCCTCACGTATTAACCTTAACCCAAATTTTGAGTTGTTATTTATGAACAGAAGTGTCATAGTGCATACCCTTCCATCGTGCTTGCCCTCCTTGAAATTGTTGTCAGGTGGTTTACCGCTAGCTTCAGGCTAAGACTGGGTAAATTGCGAATCACAGACTCTACAGGGGTTAACCTTCACCTCTTCCATTTTGTTGTGCGTTGAAACACAGATGACAGTGCTCTGTATATAGCTCTTTTAGTGTCAAGTCTTTCGTGGGGCTTCTTTTCAGAGTTAAATGTATTTACAGCCACATTGTGAGTACTTGAATCATGATGTTCAACTTCTTTTGCTTTATAGGTGTATATTAAACCCCTAAGCACCAAACAACTGCATAGCAATGGTGTTTCCTAACTTTCACGTAATTTCACTGTGTCCGATACAAATGCTGTCTTCTCATGACATTCAGAATCCAGGGTATCCTCCTAGGCAGCTGCATTAACTTCCATGAGGTTTGAGAACCCAGAGTGCGTTCATGTTATACCACACAATGAATTTAATCAGTTCAATACCAGCAATGACCATGGGTAGAAAAGTCTCGTGACAAACCTTAATTACCAATAACGTGCAGTCTGCTATTTATTCTTCAATATTAGCTGTGCCTCAAGGAAGTCGCATACTGTCCTGACCAGCTTCAATGACACTGTCGTTTGAGCGAACCGCATTTTTTCTCTGTTTGTATTTTCTTACTTCAGTTTATTTTCGTATGAAATGTTTCAAGTACGGATAGACTGTCACATTAAAAAGAACCAACGTATCAATACCTACTCGTGGGTAAGGTTTCGATTTTATGCATTTCCCAATGATTTTCAGTGTTCCAAAGACAATTAGGACGAAAGTAAGACATCAGTTAAACAAATCACAACCCAATTACTGTTCCTCACAGTTTTACTTTTTGGTCAGCGTGAAACTATTCAACCTTACAAGTATCTCAAAACTGTTCCATGGAAGGATGCCATGCAATGTAATTGAACTATGCTGTGTTCCCCCGGGAACTGAGTTCCAGTAATAATCCTGTTGCTCAGTGGAATGAAGTGTGTGCGTGCGTGCGTTTGGTTGTCACGAAACAAACAAGTGAGGCCAGATTTCATTTCATTTCACAAAGTTTTGGATTCCGAGAGCAGTTAGTATATTTACTAATGTCTAGGTTTAATTGTAACGAGGTAAACAGAACTAACGGAGCAACTGGTTTTAAATTCGTCCCAATTCAGGATTCTTAGCGCTAATTTGACTAATACCAGATGAGTGAATGGAGGTTTCTCGAATTGCGTCGGTGTGGCTCAAAATGAAGTGTATGCGAAAACAGTGGATAAAACTTGAAGTTGCTCTCACTGCTTTCAAGCTGCTTCAGTTAACATTTTTCTGTTCACTGTCAATACTAAATTATCTCGTTCTCTGAAGCAAACACTAATCACAGGCTGACTTGAAATTCAAATCCAAAATACCTCATAGCTTACCTTCCTCGGAGCCCGTGTGACCACTGCTGTGACACTGTGATTCAAGTGAGCTATCGGGCAACGATCTGTGAACTTCTGACACCATATGATGATCAAGCAACTCCTCANGTAACGTGACCCGATGTTCCCCTTCGATTGGCAGAAATTGTACCCGCTGCGCTCTTGCTTCTCAACACCCCTGTGTTTCCCGATCCTGGTCCTCCGCTTCGAATGAATACGGGGAGCCTTTCAGCTGTGACCGAACGCACGTATGTTACCGGTTGTCTGACTGCTTTAGGTGGTGCATTTTCAGCGTCTGTTGTATTAGTTATAGGACTGATTTGTTCTCCAGAGCAGGGATTAGAATGCCATCTTGTAGGTGAACCAAAATCAGTCATGGGTTTTGTTTCATCGCTGTGAAATCTGGCATGGATGGGTCTTTTAGGATCTGGATTCACGAAGAGTGAACTTTGTGGACTGCTTTCCGAACTCTGGATTCCGTGAACCACACGGGTAGATATTGGAATCTCGGATGTAAATCGACCGGTAGGAGAACTTGTCTTGTCAGATCGTGACTCTTGTACATTAGTGTCCGAAACAGTTGAGGAAACTGGTACACTAGTGATCTGACCTGGGGTCACCCTCGTTGTGGTGGTCCTTACTGTTCGACGACTCCGAAGACTACTCTTGTTCAGTTTGGCAATTTGATTGAATTGTTGTGTTATGCTTTCAGGAATATTACCAGTCTTTAACAGACTGTCAGTAACTAGAGTGGATTTGGATGTGAGAAAACTAGATGTGGTTGTACTTCCAGTCATTGTTGTGCTCTCTGCTTGTGAAAGAGGTCGAGATCCAGCGTTTGAGATTGATTCATTTGAAACTGAATGAGTGGATAACACTGAATCCGCCATCTGGGATAGGGGTTTTCCCAAATCCCGTAAAACATTATCAGACTGGTTGTTTGTTCCCAGACCGGGTATTTTGCTCAAATCTAAATTATCTGCCTCTGGTTTTCCACCGGAAGCACCAATCGCTAGCGGTAAGTAATAAATCTGATCATCAGCTTTGTTGTCCTCCTGCATGTCGTCCTCAACTGCAATGCGAAATACGTGCTCTTTAGGCGCGGAGTCAGGCTGTTCTTCTGCATTTGCCTCCTCAATCTCTGGATCCTCATTGCGGGTACCTTCTGTATTCGAATCTTTATCGACGCCAGCATCGATAGAAATTTCACAAGTCGGAGGTTGGGACATATCATCGGATTTTTCTTCCTCATAGTCCACAGCAATAGGAGACAGAATCTGAGCCGAGTTGGTTTCCTCCCCAGTCATTATTTCTGCTGGGTTTGTGACACTGTTGTTAGTCACTTCAGATTCCTCGATGGTGGGCACATTTTGATTCGCATCGATAAACACTGACTGGTTAGTCACCGAATCCGGTTCGTCCCAGTTGATCTCGGACTCAGGGACCTCATTTCTTGATTGTATATCCGGCGTGTAAATTTTCTTTTGTCGCTGGACGTCAGTCATGGAGCACTGAGATATGAGAGTGGCATATGGATGCAGTAGTACACATCGATCTGCACAAAATCAGAACAGAGTTCTCACGTGGTTGGTACGAACAAAATGTGATTGTAGAAATTCCTTTTGCTATTTGGTATCTTTTTTTGTAGCTTTGTCCACCTTTTGTGTGTACAGATCTCTCTCTGTGTGATGATTTACTCGAAGCCCTTCCGTAAGTCGAAAGGCGGAGAGGTGTTTTGTTCGTGGGTTCTGCACAAAAGTGCCTGCCAACAAAGTCACCGATTTATCACAAATGCAAACTTCTTGTGCTCCAAGTGGACAGTGCACCAATCAACAGAAGAATCGTTCGAATGGTACAAACAGCACCCCAGCGGGTATGTGCACCTATAGACATATGCAAGCAGGCAAGCACGCATGCACAGGACACATATGGGTATACAAACACGCGCACAAAGCGAGAAGTGTGTAGTCCCAACAGCACAATAGCATCAGTAGGAAGATAAACAGGCGTTTACTGGGCGGACGTCAGCCAGGTAGTAGACATACTCCGAAGCAAATTTCTAGTGTGCCGTACATGCACAAACGGCTATACACATCACACCAGCATGGGAGCCTGACAAAACCGATCAAATCAACCTTAAGGAAGACCCCAATGTACACCGGAATAATACGTCACCTGTAAAAAATTGTTGTCTGTATGATGTGAAAGAGAGAAATGACATTCAGATATCACTTAAGAAAAGTCCCAATAGTGTGACTCAAGGTAAATCAGGTCCCCAAAACTCCCACCAATAGGTAATGATTATCGATAGTGAGATTTCGATTTATCGGCTCCTGCTAAAAATGAAAAATACTAATTACTTTAGAATGCGATGGAAATGTTTGTGATAACCAACAAAGAGCACTGTAAAGCTGTTTCGTCCTGTTTGGGACTAGTCGGCCGTGCGTTCTTTTTGTGTTCCTGTCAGGACTCGAACCGCGAACATTCGAGTCGGAACTTTAAA